TAACGAATTTTGGAGGTGACGGACCACCAGCAGCAGCAGAAACAGCAGCAACAGAAACCTCAGCAGCAGAAACAGCAGCAGCAGCAGCAGCAATAGAAGCAGCCGCACCCGTGGGAGCTGCATCGCTAATTCGTGTTGCCGTGGCCGAGGCTGGAAACCTCGGTCCGGCCACGACACGAAGGTGCAACTGTACTTCAGAAACCTAACTTTTCCATTTCAGCAAATAGAGAGTAGATGTACATAAAAAAGTTATAGAAAATATTATTTCAAGAAACTTTGCTCAAGACATCAAGTTGCCATGACTTCAATTTGCCAAGATATAGGATATTCTTTGACAATTGTACCTTACGGTGATACTCTAAGCTTCCTTCCGTGAAACTTTAAAGGCACAAATGTCAGCTTCCATAAAACATACAAATTTGAAATTGCTACTCCTTGTTTGCTGTGCTACTAAAAATAGATAGTGGCAATTTCAAATTTGTATGTTTTGTGGAAGCTGACATATGTGCCTTTGAAGTTTCACGCTAAGGCTTCCTTAGAGTATCACCTTAAAATCAATTTTTCAAGCTTTTATATACTTCAATGACGTTGTATATCTTAGGTATGTGTGTTAATATTTGTGACAGCTATAGCGATTTTTAGGCCAAAAATTACCCTTTTTCAATGCACTATAACATAGCAAGCTGCAAACTGTTGCACTTGAAACAACTTTCATTTGAATGATTAAAACCAGATCTTTATTTTTGTGCAAAGATCATAAGTATCCGTTAGTATCCTGGGGAGTGCGGTTTGATTCTCTATATATTTCTTCTCGTTTATCGACACTTCCGTCGTTTCACTGACAAACTGAATCCTCACAGGCCTACATAATCGTGTTGATGATGGTCTCGGATTTTGGAACAGAAGTTTTCCGTTTGCTTTTAATTGGAGCTAAGGAAGTTATAAACATATTACAATCACTGGATTCTCCGTCATCGTTTTTAATTTTTTTTTGTTTGTACTCCGGATGTCCACTGCTACCATCAAATCCCCATTTTATCAAAAGTTCAACCTGAAGAAGATAAACCTTTTGTTTAAAGTCGCATCAACGAAAAAAAAAATACAACTTTCTTAAGCTCATCATCTGTGAAATCATCAAGACGCTCTTTGTTCACTAAGACAATCCTACTGGAGGTATGGTCCAAAAGTTTTTGAAGATTTACTTCGGCTTTTTTTTCATCGACCACGATGAACTGATCCTCCGGATAGCACTCCTTTTTGGCAATGACAATTTTGTTGTAAGAGCTCTCCGTCATGACTCTTAAAATTCATGATCACTAAACAAAATGAATATGTTCTTTCGATAGCCGGCTATCGAGAGATTAAATAAACAATACATACTTTTGGTTGCATCGCCAACTTGAGGGGAATCCTAACCGAATTCCCTACCCAACCCTCCAACTCCGTAGCACTTATGAGGGTGCCGCTTAGTTGGTGACCTCTCGTTAAGTAAGTACTACATCAACATTTCCTTCTCTATCCCTAGTTATGGTAAAGATGGGCGTGGCCGGGAATAGCGACAGTCATGCTTCTGTTACTCTTGTCACAAACGAAGTGACAGACGACTAACTGGCGAAGAAATCCATTGAAATGATGTGGTTCACTGTAATAGAATTTTCTTGGAAGCTTGTGCCATCATCCACCAGATGGGGTAGTTTTTTTGTTTTGATTTGAACAAAATTAATTTTGTGTATAATAATTCTTTGACAGTGTGCAAAGAGTGTACCATTTTGTCATTTTTTTATGCATTTCAGTTTTGAGTAGAGTGAAAGAGATAGAACCAAAACATTCTAATAAATCTGGTGAAAATACTAGTACAATCCAGTCAGCGCTGCCATTTATACATATTTATCTGTATTATACAGATTTTTTAATCTTAATACAGACCCGATACAGAATACAGATTTATCACAGATTTTTAAATTACAATACAGATTTATACAGATTTTTTTGCTTGAGAAAAAAAAATTCAAAATTTATAAAAACAAAATAACTTGCTCGATTTTATCAGCTTAAAATGCTTTTATTTTGTGAATGGAGCATTTTATTTAAATCTGGTTAGTGCTACGTTAGTAGAAAACTTCAGGACTACTCAATAGACATATAATACAGAAAACATAATTTCTTTTCAGATTTTTAGGTGTAAACATAGACTTCCGCTTTTCTACCACTGTAGCAGTAACCAGATTTAAATAAAATGCTCCATTTTCAAAATAAAAGCATTTTAAGATTGCACTCGTATACTTCCCCGTGGAAAATTTTGAAACCATCATCACTTTCATAGTTCTTCTATTCTCCACGAGTGCCAACTTTGATTTGCCAATACTGCAAAAATGATTTTACCAGCACTGGCGGGGCGACATCTCTCGACTTTTTGGTGTAACTACCACACAAATGATGTAATTAATTGTATTCATCTATATTAAAAATATCAAATAGTAATGAACTCGTGCACTTTTTTGCATTTAAAACTGCTTATCAGGAAGATAATGAATAGAAACTAAAATCTCCATACATTTTCAAACGGCTTCATATCACTCTTATAAATAAGTACGGACGATATCACAAATGGCGCAATTATATCCCGTATGGTTAGTACAATAGCCCGAATAGGTGGTTAAGCACGTTTTATGGTTATTTTGTATGCACTGTATTTGTAAAACAACAAAAAATGATTAATTAAGAAAAAATCATCAATACAGAAAATACAGATTTTTTAATAGAGCGGATACAGATTTTTTATAAAACCACCTGGCAGCTCTGAATCCACTAGTAGTGGTGTTGCCATAGCAGGTTAGTCACCAAAGTTTTTTCGTTTGTGCTCTTGTTTAGATTGGAACCAATGTTTACTCCCCAGCATTATTCCTGACAGTCGTCTAACTGAGAATTTCAGATGAGACGTGAGTGTTGATAGTATCCAATCTACGAAGTATATCAAAACCAACAATTGAAATGGCCTTAACTCCATTTAGTAAACAAACCTTGTAAGGCTATTTACTCGCGAACCGAAAACTTCATTCGCAAACCTAAACCACAATCGGGTAGAGGAGAGTATCCCCTACCTGTTATTAAACAGCCGAATACAAGCTGTACGATTGTGTTTTTAATTTTAATATAAAATGTGTAGGTTGCTATGATCTTCACTGGTCCTCAAATCAAAGTGATCTACAGTGAACTCTCTAAAACTCGATATTGAAGAGACTTTCGTGTTAATTATCAAGTTTATAGTGACACAATCCCATAGAAAATCATCATCACAGAAGCCATGAAATTAATTTTTACTTTGAAACAGAATTAGTGGATTTCGATTTGTGGAGTGTTGACTATATGCTTCTTAGTCTTTCTATATATTAAAACACACTAAGAATAATGAAATAAACATTTAATTTCAAAAGCCGTAACTGCCCTTTGGAAAACTAAATTCAGACTCATTGGACACAATTTTGGAAACTTTTAAAATATTAAAATGGTTGCTACATACCAATAAATCTTCAAAACGATTGCAATCTTTGAATTTTATTATTTCATAAAATACTGAAATTCATAAATCAAAATTCTTTGTTTACTAAAAACCACCGCATTCCCCAGGATAAAAACGGATACATATGATCTTTGCACAAAAATAAAGATCTGGTTTTAAACTTTCAAATGGTTTTCTAGTGCACCGGTTTGCAGCTTGCTTAGCTGCAATTGAAAAAGGATAATTTTTGGCTTATAAATCGCTATAGCACAAACGAAGTGACAGACGACTAACTGGCGAAGAAATCAATTAAAATAATGTGGTTAGCTGTAATAGAATTTTCTTGGAAGCTTGAGCCATCATTCACCAGATGGGATAGTATTTTTGTTTTGGTTTTGCACAAAGTTGATTTTGTGTACAATGATTCTTTGACAGTGTGCAAAGAGTGTACATCATTTTGTCATTTTTTTATGCATTCCAGTTTTGAGTAGAGTGAAAGAGATAGAACCAAAACATTCTAGTACATTTGGTGAAAATGCTAGTTCAATCCAGTAGTAGTGTTGCCATGTGGTACACTGAAAAATTGCAATAGCAGGTTAGTCACCAAAGTTTTCGAGCCGCTCCGTCTGTCACTTCGTTTGTGGCTATAGCTCTCACAAATGTAAACATAACACTTTAGTGTTTTTAGAAAAGTTGCTTATAAGCGTGATTACCTCTCACCCCAACAGGCCTGGGTTCAATCCCAGTCGGCGCCGCCAGGATGTTCTGAGGCATAACATCTCTGATCACGCCTTCCTTCGGATGGGAAGTAAAGCCGTTGGTCCCCGGTTCATGAGTTGATGGGTCGATAGGTAGGGTCCAAGTGTGGGAGCTGCCTTCCTGGCACGTCGGTAGCATTGGTGCTCAGCACGGAAAACAAGATCGACGGAAAAAACAAACCAAAGGAAAAAAAAAAAAAAAGTTGCTTATTATACTATTTTCTAAACCTTCGCAGAACACACCTAAGAGATACAAAGTGATTAAAGTATACAAAAGCTTAAAAAACTGATTTTAAGGTACAACTGTCGAAGAATATCCTATATATTCGTAAATTGAAGTCATGGCAACTTGATGTCTTGCGCAAAGTTTCTTGAAATAATATTTTCTATAACTTTTTTATATACATCTACTCTCTATTTGTTGAAATGGAAAAGTTAGGTTTCTGAAGTACAGTTGCACATTAACAAAAATTTAAGGTGAATATTTCAAAAGTTGCTGAACAGACCATTATGAAAATCATTGCAACACGTCAAATGGCTAAAGTGTATACAAACATCAGGATACAATTAAGTTCACGAATTTTCACTTTTAAACCACTGTGCAATGCATCAATTTTGAAACAAAAAATGTTTAACCAATATAACCATTATCAATCAATAACCATACACCTAAAAAGTGATTTACCACTCAGAATGAACCTGCATATATTGTGATCAATAGTTATACCAACGCTTCTTTGCAGACGACCGTCGTGGCTGCACTTCGGATGGCAACTATACGAACACTGTGGATTTTGAAACTTGCAAATCGTACAACTGTAACCGAGTGGCCCACTGCGTCATATGCAGTTCTGACAACGGACCAGATGACGCAAACTGCTTAAACGATCCACTGAATTTCACTCAACCTTGTCCACTCCATGGATTTGTTACAGATGAGAACTGCTATCGCTACGAAGGTGAATATTAATTTAATAAAAAAAAACAATGCTGATCATAGGTTTCACTTTTCAGTAAGTAAGGAACAATTTCAGCTAGGATGTACTACTGATCCAGATATACCAGAAAAATGCGGTGTTAATGATTGTTATAAGTGTGATGCTGATAATTGCAATCAAAGAGGTTCGTTAAGACTGGGTTCATTCACGTTAATGAAAATTCATCGAATTTTGTGATTTTTTTTTAAGAATTTCAAACCTGCTACGCATGTGACAATTGTCGAACATTAGAACAGGATCAAGGTAGTCCTAGGTGTACCGACTACAATTCCACATGCTTTATTGCATATGACCGTAAGCATTGATTAGTTAGCTAGCTGCAACATATTCATCTCTTATAATTAATTTCAGGTGGTTCCAAAGCAACAACCCGTGGTTGTTCGAATGATTTAGACAAGAACTTATACGAGAAAATTGTCTACGAATGCTCAGAGCCCAATTGTAATGGTGATGAATTCCCAACGCACCGTCAGTGCTACCAGGACGCTATTGAAGGCAATGACTACTGCGATTCACTAAATGCAACAAGATGTTTCACACAGGATGGGTTGAATCGCGGTTGCGACACGGATCAAGGATTCCAGGATTGTAAAGAGTTTGAAAATTGTGTGATTTGCGATTCGGACGGATGTAATTTTGATGAGCCGGCAGCGGAATGTGTGATTTACACGAATGCGGCAGAATGCACGAAGAAAAAATGTGATCAAGAAACATTCAACGTCGGGTGTTACATGTATCATGGGCCTAACGGGACGCTTGTGAAAGGTTGCCTAAATGAACTGGTGGATGAGCAAACCGAGGAGTATCAAGCTTGTACAAATAATGAAGAGTCTTGTCAGAAGTGTACCGGCTTGTACTGCAACGAGATGCATTGTTTGTCGTGCAACTCTCGAGACGGAGTGGAATGCGTAGCAGGAGAAGGCAACATCCAGTACGAATTGTGTCCGATGGATGAAGACAAATGTAGGATGTTTGTCGACGGTAGGTAGTGGGAGATGTGTACGTGCACTGCACGGTAACCGTAAAATACCCAATTATGACTATTAAAGTTAAAAATAGCATTTTCGGGGGAGGCTGGGACTACCCATTAAATGAGTATACAAATTACCGATAAATGAGTATTTGATATTCACAAATGAATACTTACTACTTATTGTTGTAGTTGTAATTACACATAAATGGTAAGTAAGCAGTTTCCCCCGAAAATGCTTACTTTGTAGTCATTATTGAGTATTTTGCGGTTACCATTTAGGGTGCATATGAAGTGCGTGGGGAAAAAGTTACCGTTGAATTTTTCAAATCTTCATTGTCTCGAAAAAAAAAGACCTTCTGCAAAATTTGAACTCGATCGGACATGACTTGGGGTGGTGCAAAATCGTCAAAATCTAAACTATTTTCATCTGAAAAATCTCCCAAGACCTATAGGGGATACAGTCCTATTTTTGCAGTACGTTAGAAGCGTTAGAAGCCTATTGTTGTGTATGAAGAAATCCATACACAACAATAAGTTTCTAACACTTCTAACGTATCGCAACAATAGAAATCTTTCCCCTAAGTGAAATTTCGCAAATCGAAAAATTAAAATAAATTTTGATGCTAAATGACGTGAAAATGCATGAAATGTCGAGCTCCAGTGTTAACTCGCAACATTTTTTGAGTCGACTACCTGGGACCAGTGCTGACATTTTTCATTGCCATTTAAAAAATTGTTTTTCACGCACAGACTTGATCCTCAAAAAAACCTTTGTCAAAATATCATTCATTTTTTCGTAGATGACAAAGATTCACCTGCTAACAAAAAGTGTAATTTCGTTCATTCTGACCAGGGTTACTTCCACTCACTTGCTATAAAAAAAATGTTTTTTTGGAATTATGAAATCACTAGATGTTATAGTGATTATTAGTACTTGTAAGATACAAGAAGATGTTCCCAAGTAACAATCTAAATGCTTGGAAGATTTATTCTTATTCTATCATTGTTTTATCATAGCATCCCTTCCAGCCTGTGGTTGTATTACGGTTTTGTGTGCTTGTCATAAAATCAGGCCGTCAAGTCGTCTATAAAACTGTTTTATGACTACTAAATTAAAACTCAGACTTCATAGTTTTAACGGTAGCTGTAAGGTGGTTCTGCATCACTACTTATAACTGAAGAATAAAACCAAAACAAAACATACAATTATGTTTTATGGTACACTTTTTATGACCGATATAAAACTTGAAGCAGTCTTAGACCTTCATTAAAGCTTCATTACAACTATCATCTTTATCAGAGGCCTAAGATTCACAGATAAGAAATATACTGCTACAACAAAAAATACTCTGAACATTTTTGTCATTATAAAAAACAAATCTATTCAGATATATGAAATGAAAACCCCTTCAGTGCTTCTGAACACGATGAAGATGAGACGATCGACACTATGAAACACCTGGAGGAACTACAGTTATACAATCCCTACATAAGGCACAGTGCGGTGAAGGAGCTCTTAAAAATATTGAACAAGCGGCTTTCCGATACACTTCCGAAAGATCCACGAACCCTTCTTAAAGCAACGTCGACAGTTTCACTAAATCCGTTTGGAGATGGCCAGTATTAGCATCACGGCTTTAAAACTTGTATTGAAAAAGCTTTTAGTGGATCCAATAAGCATTTCTTACATCTTGATTACAAGCGAAAATAGGAGGATCGCTTGGAATGTTGACTTTTTGACAGGTGGTCATGGTTTTTGTTTTGTTTTGATTCGCTGTACCGAATAAAACCAGCAAGCTAGTTATATAGCTTAAATATAACTTAACGCTCTCAATTTGGACTACGAAATGCTAAGATACAACCATTAGGTTTATGTTATGCTATAGAATTCCAATCTAGGAGGATATGTTATATTGAGGTATTTTTAAGGAGTAGAAAGTTATAACGAAAAAAAAATGTCGCCATATGAACAAATTTCACACAGTATGAATAATTACGCTTTTATTGATAGGCAATAAAACACTTTCATACATCTATGTATAATTAAATAATATGTGACTGGTTATTGCTCAACAATAGTAACAGTTTTGTACTAAATAGATAATCTTTGAATGACTCTTTAATGCATGGTGCTAATGCAGACAAATTAAAAATATCCCTATATTTTAGTATTCATATGGCGCACTAAATTTATGCTCCTATTTGGTATAATAATCACCATAAATATTGCACGGCATGCTGTGAAGCATATACAGATTGGTTTAAAATTATAATAAAGTCGTCTTATTTTCAATGTACAATAATATCAGCCATTATTACCAACTGACAAGGATCATGATTTCACATCAAACATCGAAAGAATAAAACCACAATAAAATATTTCTCAATATTAACTATCATCCAAAAACCCCAACTTAAAACCTTCAAAGTTGTCAAAATGTTTTGCGTATCATGTTTTATCAACTTCTTCAGGAGCGATTTATGCGGTTGTAATATAGTTTTATGGTAGTCATTAGAAGGCTGTTAAAACTTTCTGACCTGGAGGAGGTTTTATGTTTTCATTTTTAACAATCACGTCTAGAGTGTGATAAAACTGACACAAATCCTATGCTCCTAAAGTAGTTCGCATATCAAGTTTTAATGACTGCATTAAAACTGGGCCAATTGGCCATGACATGGCTGCATTGCGGTTCTCAGGAGATTGTTAAAGCAATGTGGTCGTCAGTGAAGGTTTTATAATTTGGTTATATCAACTGCTATAAAACTTAAATAAAACAAAAATTGTTGCTTGAGTTGTTAAGTATGTGTTTGACATATACACCCCTATTCTGTATTTCGTTTCGAACGGAATTCTCATACAAAAAAATATTTTTTTATATGAGAATTTCGTTCGAAACGAAATACAGAATAGGGGTGATAAAACCTGTCAATTTCGCTTTCAGAGCGTCACAATAAGCGATTTTACGATTCGTAAGCGTTCACTCGGAGTGAGCTCTCACGAATCGTAAAATCGCTAATTGTGACGTTCTGAAAGCAACATTGGCAGATCTTATGTGTCTAGCAAACACTTTACAACTTATTCCTGTAACTTACAACTACTAAGTACCATTATAACATCTAATGATTTCAAAACTCGGAAAAACATTTTTTATAGCAAGTCTGCAAAGGCAAACCAACATAATGAACAGGTAGGGGAAATTCTCCTCTACCCGATTGTGGTTTAGGTTTGCGAATGAAGGTTTCGGTTTGCGAGAAAATAGCCTTACAAGGTTTATTTACAAAATGGAGTTAAGGCCAGTTCAATTGTTGGTCTTGAACTAGTACAAAGCGCCTACAAAAGTTTGTTTACAAACAGCTTGTATGCCCTTTTCACATGCGGATCTTGAATTTTGCAAATGATGATGCTTGTTGGAAATAGTATTTTTTCTAACTCTTTATTTGTTTCAAATTCAAAATAAATTACATTTCATTTTAACCGAAGTGCTCCAGCTACTATAGGAACTTACCAGCCTTAATTGTTATGATATATATCTATGTGTTTTTACATTACTCCTGCCGTGGCAATTCAGTATTTTAAACAGGTTTTTTATAACTAAAGTTATATCACCAGTATCATTGAAATTGAAGAATATTAGTAGAATTTTGAAAGCGTTGGGAAAATTCTTCCATTTTTGTTAATAAATAAGAAGATAAAAAATGTACACTTTTCTGCAGTCGGCTGCAAATAACACGAATACTTCTTCCTTTAACGAGAATGCCTGTGTCATCGGCGAACAAAGATTTGTGGCGACCCTGAAGCAAATCAGGGAGGTCCGAAGTGAAAATGATATATAGTATAGACCCAAGAATGCTACCCTGAGGAACTCCAGCTCTAACAGGTATTCGCCTTTAGATTTGGAATTTTGATTATTTACCTGCAGAGTTCTGACCAGGGCGTCACAATATCAGCTTCAATCGACCAAATCGATGCGACGAAGAGACTGCTGGCTTTCTTTTTCTGTTAAAGTCGAACAGCTTCGCAGCATTCTAGAACCTCAGTCGGCGCACAAACAAATGTTCAATCGCTTGTCTCTTTTTCTCCCGTCGCTCCATTGGTCTTCCTTTCAAGCTTCGTCGAAACGGATGAGCGAAAGAGCGCTCGACTTTGATAGTTTTCTCTTTCATGAAACACATCAACAGAGGTTTCATGACGTATATGACGGAAAATGAAATAACACATTTAAAGCATTTCTTACGTCAAAACACTTGAAGATTACACGTCATATTTCTAATTTATCTTCCATCCATATATTTATCGAAAAAAAATGATCGAAAACGGGACATAACGCATTTTAAACAAATTGAAAGAGCGGTGATAGAGTGTTCGTGAAAGGGGATTGAAAGCCATAATGAAGTTCGTTTAACTAGAAAATCGACGTTAGTTATATTGAAAGCGATGAGCAAAGCAACGATGAGAAGTTCCACAGCCAGCCTTTCCTTCTAAGCGTCCTTCTTTTTTATTTTCGTTTCTTGCTGATAGTCTAGCTAGCCGTTATAGAAATGAAGCGTCGAACACGTATGTATGAGAGAAACAAAACACGAGTTCATTTTAGAGCTTCGAAATTGTAGAGCCCTGATTCTGACTGTTAAATAACTGTGAACCAATTTCATAATAATTTTTCATAATTTCGGAAAAATTGGCAGTTTTGTTCCTTATCGAAAAATATTAGACCCGTATTTTTTTATTTTTTTATTAGGGCGACCATTTTCCTGTTAGGGTGGTCCAAAAAATCGATTTTTTCTTTCCAAAAATGGCATTTTTTTAAAATCATAACTTTTGATCCATTTAACCGATTTGAATGATCAAAATATAAAAAAGGTCAAAAATACTTATCAGAATTTTTTTTTTTTGAAAATTAGAGTGTTGTATAGAAGAACTTTGATTGTATTTGTTTTTTATGGTTTTCAAGGTTTGTATACAATGGGCGTAACACGTTTTTATATTTTTTTATAAATTTAGGCTTTTCTA